CGAAAGCTAAAGCGATTCAGTCAGAAACACAATCACGTCATAGCCTTCGCATTCCCAAACCAACGTCACAGTCTCTGCCTCCATCTTCCCAAATCAACACCCTACCCTTTTAGCTTTCACATTCCCGAATCACCAGCAAAATCCCTTCGCCCTCAAAGCCTGGGTGAACGCAACGGCTTCCGAGTGGTGATGCCCCTCCTGCCGATGCAGCCGAAGATGGGTCTGTACCAGCGGGATGCCCTCACCAAGTACATCACGAGCGCGGCCGAGCAAGAACCTGTGGCCTTCGTTCGAGACATGTACTTCTTCGATGTCACCAGGTATGTGGGGGGGGGGGGGGGGGGAGTGGAGGGACATAGGGAGAGGGAGGAAGGAAGAGAGAGAGGGGAGAGAGAAGAGAGGGGAAATGAGGGAAGGCATAGGGATGGGAGGGAAGAGGGAAGGGAGGAGGGAAAGGATAGGATTAAATAGAATTAAAAACGAAACATTTCCCTAACATTCTTCAAACAATAATTCTATGATCAATGAATCTTCATTTGCATTGTACTGTATATCGTTTAGCAAAACAGAAAAATCACATCACATGTCATATATTCCCATGACAATTGTAGCTATACCCAACGCGAAAATGTTATGAAGAAGCTGGCTAACTGAATGCATCACATCCTGACAGTATTTATTCAATAATCATCACCAGCCTGTCATATTTGTCATTAGTCAACACCAGCCTTGCAAGAGCAACGTCACCTGTATATGAAAGTTAAGTTCTAACCAACCAAAAATTAAACAAAACACCACAAACAGATGTCCACGTAATATTCACCATCTCATTCTTATCTGTATAGCTTTTAATGCCTTCTCCTTACAATACTTTCCGCGCTTTCCAACCGACAACAATACACCTTTTAATGCTTTCAATACACCTATTAATGCTTTCTCTTTGCACGCTCTCCAACTAACAACAATTTCCCTTTAGGATGGGATTTGCTCGGCCAGTGTGGACAGCCATAGTGCAAGATCCCGTGGAGAGGCTGGTCAGCATTTTCCTGCACGCGAAGGAACAAGCAAAGCACCAGTTGGGTATTTCTAGGGTGGTTGTAATGATGCTTATGTTGAGGATGAGGTGTTGGTAATGGTTATTATGATAATGGTTGTAATTAACAATGATAATATTCATAATGCTAATGGTTGTTAATATTCATAATGCTAATGTTAATGATAATAATGATAATAATAATAAGAGTAATAAGGGTGATGCTTATACAGATGATAAAGATGATGCTATTCATTATAATGGTAATGATAATGGCAATGATGTTAATAACAATAACAATAATAATGATAATGATAACAACAACAACAATAATAATAATAACAATGATAATATTAATGATAATGCTAGTAATAGTAAATAGTAATAACAATAATAATAACTTTATTGATAATAATTACATAATAAAATGATAATAATAATAATAATGATAATAATGATAATGATTACTATTATAATGATAACAATAATGTTAATAGTAATGATAATAATAATAATGATAATAATGATAATTATTACTATTATAATGATAACAATAATGTTAATAATAATAATGATAATGATAATTATTACTATTATAATGATAACAATAATGTTAATAGTAATGATGATAATAATAGTAATGATAATAATAATTATTACTATTATAATGATAACAATAATGTTAATAGTAATTATAATAATAATAATAATAATAATAATAATAATAATAATAGTAACCCCTCCATTCCACACGTATCTCGTTCTTCACTCCACAGAGACGCAGGACACAAAGACCGTGATATATCGGGCCTGAGTTTAGAACAGTGTGTCATCTCCCGCAATTCCCTCTGTTGGTATTCGAAGGGAGAGCAGAGGACGTTGCAGCTGTCTTTCTTCTGTGGTCAGCATACCTTCTGCGAGTGAGTTCTGAGGGTGAGGGAGAGAGAGGTGGGAGTGGAGGTGGGAAGTCTGGAAAAGGTGGGAGTGGGTGTGGGAGGGGGGGTTAGGAGTAGAGATGGAAGAGGTGGTGGGAGTGGGTGTGTGGGGGGGGGGGGTAGGAGTGGAGGTGGAGGAGGTGGGAAGTCAGGACGAGGTAGCAGTGGGTGTGTGTGTGTTTGGATGAGGGGGGGTTAGGAGTGGAGGTGGAGGAGGTGGTGGGAGTGGGTGTGTGGGGGAAAGGGGGTTAGGAGCGGAGGTGGAAGAGGTGGTGGGAATGGAGGTGGGAAATCAGGATGTGGGAGTGGGTGTGGGGGGGGGAGGGTGGTTAGGAGCGGAGGTGGAGGAGGTGGTGGGAGTGGAGGTGGGAAATCAGGATGTGGGAGTGGGTGTGGGGGGGAGGGTGGTTAGGAGCGGAGGTGGTGGGAGTGGAGGTGGGAAATCAGGATGTGGGAGTGGGTGTGGGGGGGGGAGGGTGGTTAGGAGCGGAGGTGGAGGAGGTGGTGGGAGTGGAGGTGGGAAATCAGGATG